TCCCCTTGTTTGATGAACCCACACACTTTTTTCAAACATGAAGCATTTCTCTAGATTATTTTATAAAATTCCATATTCTATACTGATACAATAAATTTTCCAGTAAATAGCAGCAAATTCCCAATATTTCATTTCATTTGAAAATCCGTCCTCTACCTCTTTTTTCTTGAACAACTGTGTCCCCAACCTTTGAGAAATTAGCGCCATCCATCCAAATGGATGAATTCCTTCCATTTCAACATTATTCAACCCATTTGACCAAAAAATTACAAAACTTAAAAAGGACAAAGTGGCGTTCCATTATTCTAAATTAAAACATTATAAGAGAAAAGAAAATGAAACAAATTGAAAATTCAGATAAAAAAACACGACTCATCTTTCTCTACCCCACCTCCACCTCCAACTCTTCCTACACCTTCACTGGATATCCTTAATGGAGGTTAAAGTTTTTGTTTCAATTACATATGTTGCAGGAACTGAAAATAAACATACTTCAGAGTGTGGTAAATTCTTGAAAAAAGGAAGCTCTTCTTATGGAGCATTGAATCATGTACCAATTTTATTTTTCATGACTGAAATGGATTCTACTGGATTTTTGTTAGTTCTAAAATTTCCCTTGTTTTTCTTTACGGTATCTTCTAAAACAGAAACAATTCAAATGTTTCGCTGGAAACATGTCAAAATGTTGAATTGTGGTTTTTTATTCTTTACCTAGGTTAAGCATCTTCATTCTGTCAGTTGTCACTTGCTAAATTTTGCAATTAGATAAGGAACATATTGCAAGCACATTAAGATATGTCGTGGGGTGGCAGACTGGCAGTGTAGTGTAGTGGATAGGTAGGTACTAGGTACAAGGTGTGGGCGGAGAAGATAAATAATTTTTTTTTTTTTTCGCTTTTATTTTTTCTGAATTTTCATTTTGTTTTCTTTTTAAATATTTTAATTTAGAGTAATGGAATACCTATTTGTCCTTTTTAATTTTTGAATTTTCTGGTCGAATGGGTTGACAAGCATTGAAATAGATGGAACTCATACATTTGAATAAATGGCGCTAATTTCCAAATGTTGGGGACACAGTTATCCAAAAAAAAAGGTTGGAGACGGATTTGCAAACGAAATGAAAATTTGGGGACTTTTACTGCTATTTAACCTGAGTTTGAAAACACCAAGACCTTTTGGTAGAATAGGTTAAAAAGTATAGAAATTATATTTTCTTGACAAGAATTTTCAACATATGTGAAAGCATCATGTCATAAAAGTTTCACTTGCTTACCAGCGGAAGTAATCACTTCTAATTTCTAGAGGTGCTGCAAGCAATATATCAGTAATCCAGGGAGACAGTGGCCTCATAGTTTTTCTTTCTTGTTGTACAGAAGGCAAAGAAGGTTTTCCATCCACGAGTTTACTTGTTGAAGCATGGGTCACCCTGTTAATTCTATCTGCTTCATTGTCGTGACGTTCAATGTTGTAAATTGGGCGGTTATAATGAGTCAAAATTCGTAAGATCTCCCCACATGCAAGTGCCCAATGCTCAGAATACTCATTCTGTAATTCAATATTGAATCATTAATCTAGTATTGGGTAACTAAGTGGAATTGGCACATTTCACAAAATTGATAATCTTTTGAAGATGCTACTTCTGAAAGGTTTAAAATGACAAGTGAAGAAGAAATCTTGTAAATCCATGATATGACAAGGAAAAGAGAAAATGCAGAATCATAAGTTGATTTAACAATCTAATACCTCACTGCTGGGGCAGACCAAAGAGATGAAAGAAGCGAATGGGTAACCACTCCTATTGTATTCTAGAGTACCATCAATAATGCATGAAATAATAGGAAGAATAACAGCCTGACCATGCTCTGGATGGTGGAGAACAAATGTTGCTGGAAAACAAAACAAACACACAAGTTATGTTGCTGCACAAGCAAGACTCGAAACATTACATTTTTTGAGAGGGTTAAATAAACCAGTGGCATAAATTTTTTCACTAAACGTCAACTTGTTTTAGGTTGGTCACCAAACCTAATTTTGTTTCAAGTTGGTCACTTTATCCAATGTTTGTTAGTGTCAAATGGAAAAGATGTGGCAGTTGCATTTTTATCAAAATTTCATGTTTGGTCACTAATCTTCAATTTGTTCCGGGTCGGTGAACAAACTCAATTTTCTTTCAAGTCAGCCAATATATCCAATGTCTGTTAGTTTCACTAATGGAAATGGTGATATGGTAGTCTAGTTATTTGCCAACCAGACTGCCACGTTAATTTTTCCGTTAGTCAAACTTACTGGTAACCAGTGTCTAAATTTAGTGACCAACTTGAAATTAACCAACATGTAACAAAATGGACTTCAGTCACTAAAATGAAATTTTACTAAAAATTCAGCAACCACCGGTGTTTTTAACCCTATTTTGAGATGATGAAATGAGCTGATATCAATCCTATATGGTCAATAAAAGTAGCAAGTACCTAAAACTTCATCAAAAAGTCGGTTTTCCTTGGATGGATATTGGCTTCGGATCAGCTGCAAGACCAATAAATGTTACAAGTAGAAACGTCTATTAACAAGTATTTGCCAGTTCAAAAATAAATACCTAGATATGGAAATTGAAAGTAAAGGTTTCCTTCCTTCATTTATCCCACAAGGCAGTTCAAAAGTAATGCATAAACAAAATACCTCTGCTATGTCATCAGGAAATTGTTCTGATGTGAATTGACCAAAATACTCGACATAGGCAGTAATTTGAGCCTGAAACGAGGAATAAAAAAACTGTTAAAAATATCCAAAGTATAAATGTGCAATAGCTAAAACGAAGCAATTTAAATAACAGAACTTACATAAACAAAACGTACTTGTAAAAAGGTAAAACGTTAAGTCTTACAAACAAGTTCACTTACAGCTACAAGGAAGTAATCTAAAAACAGAACTTACACATACATATGCAGTAGAAAGTCCAAAATTTCACATGGTTGTAAACAGTTTTGACTTGGATCCATGAATTAGACAAGGATTTTTCAATTACACAGATTATTGATCATTGAATATAAAGTTATTGAGATTTCCTTCTACTATTCTTCTCATTTCTTCTCCTATATTCTCTTCTTCTCCTTCTCCATATTTTGTTGTTCTAAATTTTGTGCTACATGAGATGGTTTATAGTATCATACTAGGGAGACGACTTGAGTTTACGTCACACGGTTACCCATTCACAAAAAATTGTCACTGCCAGGCCTTTTAAAATTTGGTTTACACGCGAGATGATATGTTTAGAACATTTAAATAAATACACATGTCCCCTCCCTAACTGCTTAAACATTTAGATAACGTCGATCAACATAGTTAAAGCCAAGCAAAAGATCTACATCCAAATATCGCCGCCACCAATTATGAAAATGTCACATGTTAAAGCCTTTGATGAATCGAGCTCACATGTAAAGGTGAGGGCACGTATAGAAGACAATATTTACATACATAAATATGCCCTCTCTTTAGCAGCTTAACCTCTTAGATGGTTATTAGGACTTGGGGTTCCATCTTAAAAGGTCAACCTTATTAAGAGAAGTAGCCCAAGATCTTTTAAAGTTGATCAATATTTCTGTATTTAACTGATATGGGATTTTTATCCCTTAGCATGCCCCTGCAATATGGTGGCTCATTTGAGCAGACCAATCTTAAAATCCATGTGCTCATTTTTAGAGTCTTAACCGAATCGAATTGCTCGTTGGAGCTTAATGAGCTTTGATACCATATTAAGACTTGAGCTTCCATCTTAAAAGGTCAATCTTACTAAGAGGAGTAGCCCAAAATCTTTTTAAGTTGGTCAATATTTCGGTATTTAACTGATGTGGGATTTTTTATCCCTTAAGGCAGGTTGTTTCTTTTCTCCAGTTGAGACAGGTTGTTTCTTTGTAGAAATCCTGAGATAAATGGAAAGATTATATTTTATTATATCATTTTATTTGTACCTTATTTAGATTAGGTAAGTATATATTTGTTTGATTTTTCCTTTTTTGGTTCTCGGTTGTAATATATATTTGAACTCACAGAGATGTAAGAATGAACAATTCTCTTCAATATTTATTTGCATTTCTATATGGTATCAGAGCCTTTCCTGACCTAGCCAAAACTGGTCAATGGCAGAAAAATCAGAAAGAAACAACCATACAATGACATCCGGGCCTCAAAACAGCGAGGTGGAATCTCATTCCACCATGGGCTTAGGGAGAATGGATAATTCTTCATTCCAACTCACAGTCGAGAGATTGAATGGAAGAAATTATCGAGAATGGGCTCAATCAATTAAGCTCATTATTGACGGAAAGGGTAGAAGACACAGGTGCGTTAGTGGAAAAGGATAGATATCAGCGACTAGTGGGCAAACTAATTTATCTCTCACATACAAGACCTGACATTGCATTCGCAGTAAGTGTGGTAAGTCAATACATGCACTCTCCAAGAGAAACTCACCTAGAAGCTGTATATAGAATCCTCAGATATTCAGATATCTCAAAGGTAACCCCGAAAAGGGACTCTTCTTTAAGAAAAATGGAAGGAAAGAGGTAAAAAAATTTACTAATACAGATTGGGCCGGATCCATAGAAGACGGAAGATCAACTACTAGGTATTATACCTTTGTATGGGGAAATTTAGTAATATGGAGAAGTAAGAAATAGAGTGTGGTAGCCAGAAGCAGTGCTGAGGCTGAGCCAGAGCTGTCGCACAAGGAATATGCGAAAGACTGTGGATGAAGAAACTATTGGAGGAATTACAAGCTGTGATAGATTTTCCAATCAGATACAGATTGGGCCGGATCCATAGAAGACGGAAGATCAACTACTAGGTATTATACCTTTGTATGGGGAAATTTAGTAATATGGAGAAGTAAGAAATAGAGTGTGGTAGCCAGAAGCAGTGCTGAGCCTGAGCCTGAGCTGTCGCACAAGGAATATGCGAAAGACTGTGGATGAAGAAACTATTGGAGGAATTACAAGCTGTGATAGATTTTCCAATCAAGCTCTATTGTGACAACAAAGCTGTGATCAATATCTCTCTCAATTCGGTCCAACATGATCAAACCAAACATGTCGAGGTTGACAGACACTTCATTAAAGAAAAAGTTGAAGACGGAATTATATGCATGACCTATGTGCCTACTAAAGAACAAATTGCAGACGTTTTCACCAAAGGACTATCTCGACAAAACTTCGAGGATCTCATATTCAAGTTAAATATGATCAACATTTACGATCCAACTTAAGGGGGAGTGTAGAAATCCTGAGATATATTGAAAGATTATATTTTATTATATCATTATATTTGTACCTTATTTAGATTAGGAAAGTATATATTTTTTCCTTGTTTGATTTTTCCTTTTTTGGTTCCCGGTTGTAATATATATTTGGACTCACAGAGATGTAAGAATGAACGATTCTCTTCAATATTTATTTGCATTTCTATAATGGCTAACATGACAGCTAAGGGAAAAAGTTGAGTTCAAGTCTCATCTTCGCTTATTTATGAAAAATGTTAACGGGCCTTAAAAGTCTAGGGTGCACATGAGGAGTCATGTTGTAGGCAACAATAAAATGCATACAGGGCATCCCCTCACTTTACCGTGTGGATTCAAGTTTTAGACAGTATGATTCAACAAAAACTAACTATTGTGGGCATGCCCTCACTTTAACTTGCGGATTAAACTCCAAAATGTTGAAAATTTCAAACTTCAAATTTCAAATTAGTACATGTTAAATCCTTAGCCCTAATGGTGAATACATATGTCACCCTTTCTCATATTGACCACAAAGGAAGCCAATTATTTAAATAAATGTGTCAACTTTCTAACAATTTAAACTTTTAGATGAAACAGTTCAATGAGAACTAACCATTGTAGGCCTCCTCCCTCACTTTAATATGTGGATTGAACTCTAAAGAGCTGAAAATTTCATAACGACAAGTGTAGTATCCTTACTCCCAGTCCCAACTATAAATGTGTGTCAGCTACCCTTACCAATCCTGACCACAAGAGAAGCCAATCAACCATCCTTCTTGTCCTCTTACCCTCACACAAAGCAACACACACAATAGATGCTAGAAAACGGTCTCTTATTCCCCTTACCACAGATTCTATCTCACAAATCGAATATCTAATTCAAATACGAACTTGAGCAAAATGATGAACTTAATATATTCGATGTGAACTTGACCAAAATGATAAGCTTCATATATTCAGAGAAAACAAGGTTAACTGAACAACGCTTCAATATGTTAGGACTATCTAAGTTTTGTTTTACAGAAATTTGATGCGCTAAAGAGAACTCAGAGAAAACCACTCCACTTTTTTCACTTTCGAGAATATTGAGTTCTCGAGTCAATGTGAAAGTGAGTTGATCTCACCTTTGGCC